GATGGGGGACGTGAGCAGTACTCGCCTCGTGCCGTGATGCCGTGGCAGGAGCCAGAGCTCCGGCAAGTGTCATTCCCCAGGGAACGGGCAAAGGCAACCGCCTGCGCAGCGGCGAAGGCAAACGCTTTGCTGAACCTCCGAGCGGAGTCACCCGCGCTTAAAGGTCAGCGGCGGCGTGAAATGGAAGTTGCCTTATTTTCATTTTAAGCATGTCCCTGCCATAAACTCACTATTTGAATAACAAAGAGCGGCAGCAGCTCTCAGGTCGTGGGGGGGGCGGAGAAGGGGAAGAGCCTCCCTCCCCCAAGCCCCCCAGGAACACGGCTGTGCCCGGTGAGGCATGGCGAGACCCCCACATCCCATGGGAACGATGTCCCTGTGCTGGGGACCGTCAGGGAGCGCACCCACCCTGCACGCACACCCCATCGCCCACGCACAGGGATTCGCTGCTGTCTAGGAAGGGTTGAGCTCCTCCTGCATCCTTCTCCCCCCGGGGATTTGGAGGTCTCCATCCCCTACGCACCTCCTCACTGTCACGTTGGGCTGAGATCAGCTCTGGATTTTAAAGTTGCTGAGGACACCCGGGGCTTCAGGCAGCACCAGTGCCCAGCTGCAAGGCTGGGGCATGGGTGCACCTGAGCTCAGCGACATCCTTCCCACACGGGTCACGGCCGCTTTGCCCGAGGATCAAAATTGGAGAAGTGAGGGTGGAAAAAAAAAAAAAAAAACAAACAAAAAACACAATCGGGAAAGGATGTAGGTCCCCTCCACTCCTCTAACTGTCACTCTCCTGCCTCCTTCCCCGCTGCCTGCCTCCCTCCCCCTCTCCGAGGCAAGCATTCAATCATTTTTGTCTTGGCAAATAGCTTTTAAGTTCCTCCCGCTCCCTCTAATTTATATTATTTTAATTATTGAATAGCCCTCTCACTCGTCGCCTGGAACATTAGCACGTTTTTTTAAAAAAAAAAGGGACCCAGAAAAATCAAACTCCATCAGCGATCTGCTTTTTCCGTCTTTGCTAACAGCTTCCAGCCCTCCCAGGAGGGCGCCCGGCGCTCTCAGCACGCCGGGCTGGCGGAGGAAGAGGAGGAGGGAGAGAGAAAAAGGAAAACGGCATCAGTCCTGCAGAAGCGAGGGGTTTCGGGGTGCTGGGAGGCGAGGCAGAGCTGGACCCCCTCTCCGGGAAGAGCACGGGGCCCCTGCCACTGCTGGGCGTGCGGAGTATTTACATTTCTCTCTGCCATTTGCTGCGGAGGGGGCTCTTGTTCAAACACTCGCTCCGGCTCAGGGACGTCGCTGCGGATAAATAAATGCACAGCGAGGGGGGAAAGTAATTATAAACTCCTCAGCTTTCCTACAGCTGGAGGAGAGAGCAGGAGGCAGAGCCAGCCCTCGTCCCCCCGCAGCCCTGAGCGCCCCGTTCCCCCCCGCACACCGGGGACCGGTGGCACAGGACAAACGTCCCCAGCCTGGCTGATGTCCCCTGGGCTGGAGCAGAGAGCGGTCACGGCCGTCCTCGCACCCCGTCGGCAATAGCTGCCTCCGATGCAGCAAGCCTGCGACTCCCAACCATTCGGCCACACATTTTGGGGGTATACCCCACACCCCCTTATCGAGCCGTCCCCCGTAACTGGTGTCAGGGTGGTCCCTGTTGAAATGCTCAGCTGCGTGCAGGCAGGCGAGTCGAGAGCGTTAGTCTACAGGCGACAGCCACAACGTGTCTTATATGATGGCAAAGGGTATCTCACACCCGGGGTGCTGAGCGGGATGGCCGGGGTCCCCCCGAGCTGACCCCCCGCGGTGACACCGCTCCCACAGACTGGCCAAGTCTCCTCCAGTATCAGCTGGGGTGGGGGGTGAGGGCTGCACCCCAGAAACCCTCGGGGACCTCCCAGGGAGGCCGGACCCTCTCCAGCCTCAGAGGTTTTCAAGATCCACCGCAACCAAGACCTGAGCAACCTCCCTGACCCCAGAGACAGCCCCGGTGGACACGGGCGGTGGGCTGAGCCCCCCACGGTCCCTTCCAGCCTGAGTTATCCCACCTCACACCCACCCTCAGCCCACCTCCCCATCCATCCCCTGCAAGGCGACCTCCCTCCCACAGCCCCGCTGACGCCAGGAGCATCAGCATCCCCCGTCACCACGAAGCTGGGGGAGAAGAGATAAAAATCCTCCTGCTAAAAGTGTCGTCAGCAAAGGGGGACGGAGGAAGGGATCCCCGGGGACCCGGGGGAGGCAGGAGAAGGGTTTTAAAGACACCAGCTCCTGCCTACCCCCAGCTGTGGGGAAAGAGGCACGTGTGGAGGAACACTGCAAAAACATGCGCGGCGGTTTCACTGAGTGGTCATTTTTACCCTCGCCGAGCCCTACCTTGAAGAGCCGCAGGATGTTGGCCACCATGATGGAGACGGAGCTGCCCGAGGCGCCGATGACGCCGACCACCCGCTCGGGTTTGGTGATGATGGGGGGACCGCCGTTGACGCAGCGCACCTCAGTGCTGTCCTTCTCGATGAGGGCTTGCACGAAGGTCAGCGACTGCTCCAGGGCGTGCGTGTCCCGCGAGCACGTGTCCAGGATGCGGGCACCCAGGGTGATGCTGGGGAGCAGGTCGGGGTCGTTGTTGATACGGTCCAGGGCGAAGAGCATGGCCTCCAGGCGATGGATGCCCTTCTCCTTCTTCAGCTCCCCGCAGGGTTTGCCCTCCCTGCCCCGGCCGTGCACGGGGAAGAGCCCCCCGAGGGTGATGTCCCCGTCGATGCGGATGGAGTTCATGTGCGGGTAACCCTGGCCCTTGGGCTTGGCAGCACCCCCGGGCGCCCAGCCGCAGCTCCAGGCACTCAGGAGGAGGCAGAAAGAGAGATGCTGCATGCAAAAATAACCCCCGCTCATCGCCGAAGCCGTGCTGGGGCAGAGCTCGCGGCCCGAAACCCGGCGGCAGTCAGGGAGCGAGGCTGGCACGGGCGGGCGGCATGGCTCCCGGTGCGCTCCCG